AAAAAATGTTCACACTAATACTGTTGCCACAGGTAGAAAAAAGGGACAGAGATGGTGTACTGTCGACCTGCACTTAACCATGGGTAGGATTTGGCAGTAATGGGATTACATAATCACATTGCAAGTAAATCAGACAAGGTTGCATTTGAAAAATGAAAATGTGTAATTACATTTTGATTACATTGTCAAGGATTATATGATATCACTTTGATTGTATCTTTAAAATTATCAAATTTTAAAATGATGGGGCTTTTTTCATGAAAACTAATAAGATTAACTAATGTAAAGCTTGTTTGACAGACAGGGTTTCTTTAACAGGTGCTCCACTTTGTGTGCAGCAGCAGTTTATCCAAACCAGACCAGCCTCCATTTCTGGTAATATGTCTATCACTTTTTGGGCCCAACGCAAGAACGTTTGTACAAACCAAAAAAGAAGGCTGCTCTCATCCACTAAACACTCAAGTTTTCTCCTCAGTTAGCTCACTAACACTGCAGAAAAGGTGTGGGTGGGTTGAGCTTGGGTTTTGCTTCAGCTTCAAGTTTGTTTTGACCACTTTCAGTGCAGTGTTCATCAGATTATTTACATCTCCGACAGTAGGGAGGCTGATAATGGTAGCAAAAAAATGTTCAACTATTTCCAATGAAATCCAAACTCAGATTAATAAGGAAAATTAAAAAGCTTAAACATGTAATGACAGTTCTGTAAGCTTGAGTGAGGGCCTCCATAAATTCTGCAGTGCAGTTGTTTAAGGAGCAATGACAACAGTGGTGAACCACTCTCTGCATGAGGCTCACCCCTCCCCCTCTCGGCATACTGGAATTGTGGAGTGGCAGATTGCATTGGCAAGCTTGTTCTGCCTCACATGGCCTATGTGAGGTCAGCGAGGCTAGCTTTATGTCATGACAGATGGTAGCATGTTGGCCTTGCCAGCTAGCTTTGCTTGACGGTCAGTCAAACCTGCTGTGGGCACTTCGTGTCCACCTGAACGCAGCTGGTCATTGACGGCCACTGATTCAGCGCTGGTTATCTCGACGGGAATTGCCGTGCTGGCACGGATTAGAAGAGACCTAAGTCAGAATCCCAATAACATTTCTAAAGAGGGTCATGCACATACCAGAAACCAAGTCATGGTTACTGCTTGATCTGCAGCTCTCACAATAGAACCAAGCATCATTTTGACTTTAGCACAACAGGTGGCAAGTGTTCATGCATTACAAAGGAAGTCCAGTGAGATGTGTCTATCGTCAAACACAAATATCGAGAACGCATTCAGAAACAACACAGCTAAAAACTACAATGAAAGGTTTGAATCAATGATGTCATCGAGATATTAACTCTGTCTAAAAACTCGAGAATGATGAGACATAAATGACAAATAAAAAAACAAGAATTACCAAAGCCTTGCTGTAATTTAAATTTCTATTAGTGTGACACAAATTTTATAGATTTCAGAGATGGCTTTTACATGAGTTTGGTGAGTTTTAACGCCTTGTTTTATTCTGTTGTTTTGAGTTGTTCTATTGTATTAAGATGTTAATCCACATACCCTTACCGTATGTGAGAACCAGACAAACAACTATTTTCAGTGAATGACAGACAAACAGGATAAGCCAATTTATTGACAGCTGGGGGTAGAGGTGAGCAAGGCTGGAGTCTTGGGTTAAAATAAGATGTGGTGATCTCTCTTACCCCTGTAAGCACCTGCTGACCTGCCAGTGCAAGACACTACTTTTAATGAGAGCAGAACAAAAACAGACTTTTTTAAGCCCGGCTGATAGATTTGTCTTTTGTGTTCCAAATGTTATATTCATGTACAAGTAGTTCATTTCAAAAACAAGTTGGCTTTTATAGAATCCAAGTGGTGAGTTTACGTAGGAGGTATTAACAAATAGAGGGATTGAAACTTTGGTTATTTATATTTGGAGCACATGATCAAAATTCAGAGTTATTGCACTACAAATTCACTCAGGTTCAATTTCATTCAACTATGCAGTCAAGCTGTCCTATATTTCAATGTTTTTACACTTGCACTCTTATTTATTCTTGCTTTTATAACTTTTTTATCCCATTTGCTGCTGCAATACACCAAATGTCTCCATTGTGGGAGTTGAACCAATATAGGATTATCTTATCTTTTAAACTAATAAAGCTAATAAAGAATAATTTTGTTTGTTTTGGACTTATATATATATACTATAAAACTGCCCATCATATTCATACATTTTATTTTAACTGTGATGTCCATCTCTCCTTCTCTGATTGTCTATCCTGCATCAAATAAAATTAACAAGAAGTCAGCTACATGAAAAACTGAATTGTGAATCCGGATTTGATGTACTATAAAACAGAGCTAGACTGATAACCTCAGCTCAGACTCAGAGGCCGAGTCACACCAGCCAAACGTATTAGCACATCTTTTAAAAATATATGGTGGTTGGTGACATGGTGACCACTACTCACTGGTTTTGTTGTAAAACTACAAACTAAATGCTAGCACGCTGGCTAGTCAAAAACATGGATTTTGTGGCAGCTCTCCACACTTTTCAGACAGACTGTCTTTCAGTTTTTCTGCAAACCATTTTTCACTTTATTGACACCTGAAGCAAAAAAATAGAAATATGCAGGTTAACTTCTCTCCCATAAGAAAAGCATTCATTACTGCTATCCCATTGGAATGAATTTCACCTTTTAACATACCAGCTTGACTAGGCCTTATCAAAGATTCATTTTATCCAAACATTACATGGAATCCAGGGATTGTTTTATTGTATGTCTACTACTAAGCCTGAATATTTAGATTTCTGTATTCCTGCCAGTGATGTGGACAAATAAAATACAACCTAATCCCCTGTTCTATAACCTAAGCCTTATCTGCATCACTTTCTCTCTCTTCATTCCTCTGCAATACTTTTTGGTTTTGAACTTGAGGGTGAATCAGGGACAAGCTCACTGAGGTGTGGAGGTTTTGGTTTCCTTAGGAGAATGAAGAGGCGTAACATACAAGTTAACTTCTAGGCAAACTGCTGCACTGAATCAACACTTTGGGCTGAATCATTTTAAAACAAAGACATATTTCTTCTATTGTTTCATACAACAGCCTTGTGGGAGCAACTCATTGTTCCATACGACTGCATCAATAAAAGTACATAACACCTCCAAGAGTCAGAAGTCATGTTTTCCTAAGACTCTTCACAATTTAAGTAAGTGACACCCTGCTGATTCTCTCCTAAAACCAGCAACCGGTACATAAAGACATAAAGATGGTATTCTGACATCTCTATCATTCTGTCTCACTCCCATGAAAAACATTTTACACTTGCATAACAAAGCATGGGCTCAGTGTGAAACTAAAGACAAGGTTGGTAGTGAAAGGTTTCCGCAGGGCACAAACAAAATGGGTGTGTTGTTGGCTTTAACAGCTCTGACTCAGACTCAGTAATTGCTCGGTATGCAGCTACTCTGTAGCAAGTTGAGCTACATGCTATCCTCAGCACAAAAACAACACAATAAAAATCACACAACAACACAGACATTTATGAGAGCAATATGCTCCTCTGACATCACTGTTCATTTTCACCGAATAAAACTCTGCATCTGTTTCATGTTAGTATCGCAATAGAAAACCATTTCCTGTGCTACATACAAAACCACTCGTTTTCTGAAGATGACTGGTGTAAAATGAGAACTATGCATGAGTGCTTATAGGCTATTTATGTAAATAACACATACACTAGATGACTAAGAACTGCAGTGCTGAAATATTTCAGCATGAATGAAATAAACATGCAGAGCTGAGGGCTGGAAAGTAAGGAAAACAAAGCCCTCCAATGAGGCCGACCTGACACAGCTAGCTGCCAAAAAGGGTGACAGCAGTAGCGTAGCTGTCACAGCAAAGCATCTTGGTTCAACCGGAGAACAAAATGAACAGCGTCAGTGAGTCAGGCAGAATGTCCTTGGGTACACAAACGTAAACAAACATGAGCATCACCAAGGAGACCGATGGCTTTTACGCATCCTATCCCGCATTTAACACTGCGTGCTGCTGGGGCAGAGTTCACAGGAAATCTGCAAGAGTGTGAAACAGTACAAAACAGGAAGAGAGCAGAGTTCGTCCACTGGAAATCAAACTGGAGCTGTCAGAACTTTGAAGACAACTTTGTATCTAAAAGAGTGAAAATAAACTCACTTCCAATATGTTTGTTCTCTCTGAATAAAAGACACTGAGGAGGGGGAAGTGAGACAGAGGGCAACAGGGTTTACAGGAAATGTGGTCAGAGTGTGGGGAAGCAGTGGCACTAACAAAGCCACTTGTGTGTTACAGAGACTGTCAATCAGCTTGGGGCATTTTTAAATCTATAATGTTTAGTCAAATCAGACTCTGGTTTGTTTGCCCCCCTTGGTCCAATTAATCTGGTAAATTTGAACACAGCAATCCAGCAAGAACAAGCACAGAAAGAGCCTTTAAATCTGGTCGCAAATTAGTTTCAGGCGGTTCATTACTGAGGAGAACATAAACAAATCTAGAACAGCTCCTGTAGCAACGTGCACAAGTATGTAAGTATGTGAAATCAACAATACAGGGGTTTTCCTTTTAGTCAATTAATGGATTATTCAATACAAAAAAAAAATCTATAATTCCTTTTTCTATTTGACACATTTTAAAATAAAAAAGGCTTTCCATCAAAAGAACACATCTGAATATGTCAACTTGGACCTAAGAAATGTATTTGACCAAACAATAAATGGTTTAAATTGTACAACAGTTGCTAATCTAGGTCACAAATCTCGGACACATGTATCCAAATCCGAATCAATCTTTGCGTGGGCTATTAAAGGGCTAATGTCAAGTTATTCAAGAGCTTTTATAGTGAAAGGACAAACTAAAATTCCCAAGTTGCCTTGTCTTTTGGGGAACTTTAATGTCGGAGCTCAGACAACCAAATCTGTGGAGAGACTGCTAGGAGCATTTCACAGCCCCACCTGGCTGTAGATTACTCACCACAGTAGTATGTATGTATGCACCACCAGTCTGTTCAGTCAGGGCCTTGTACCATGGGCTCAGAACCTGCAACAAAAGAAGATCCAACACTTAGTTAGAGGTCTCTAAAAGATTATACAAGACAGAATAACACTGACAATCAAGCATTTTTTTGGAAACCAGTGCTTCTGCTTCACCTAAAATCAGGTGTCACAGAAGAACAAATCTTACCCGAACATAACCTGTGAACACATCTTTTATAACAGGGATCCAAAGGGTCTATTCATGAGAGTAAACAATATCTATTATTTATCATTACAGAACTTCATGTAGCTGTTGACTTTGTGTTTATACAGTGCTTGAACAGAGCTCTGTCCATACTATTAAAACATTTGAGGAAGATAACCACACAAAATGTCAGACAGCCTGTAAATTCTTTAAACTTTTGTGCATTTTCCTTTATGAGACGAGATGAATTTTGTAGGCAAAGCTTTTGTAATGTCTTTAGATTATTTGTTTTTGGTTTTACTGTGGAGCAATCTTTTTACATTATCACTATTTCAATTATATCTGGTGCTCTGCTTGCACATGCATGAGGGTTCTAATGGAATTATAGCTTCTAAACCAATTCAAGCAAATGTTGTTATTCTTCGTCTTGTGTGATAGTAAACTAAATTAATTTAGGTTTTGGAAAATTGGAAAAATAAAGCTTTTTGAGCATCAATTTAGGCGTTAGAGGAGATTGTGAATCAAACTGTGTACTACTTTGACACATTTTATACACCAAACAATTAAATTATTAGGAGAACTCATCAACTAGAGCAAAACCAGTCTGCAACAGCCATAGCCATATACATGTATGAATGACCTTATACACATTCCCAATGAATCGCTTACTGACAGTGGTGGAAACTCGCAATGAATGTAGCAATATCCCAGCCAAACACACAGAACAAATTTGTTATACATTTACATGGGACCTAATGTTCCAATCACCATTAGTTTCAAAGCCCAAACTCAATTAAAGTGCACCATTTAAAAACATCTCAATCAGAATAAATAGTCCCCAACAAAATTAAATGTTCAATCTTTGCAAAAAGGTAGTCTAGACGGGTAGTTTAAAACTGTACCACATAAATGATTTAGTTAAGATGTTTCTTCACTTCCAAAAAGTGGTGGCTTCCAAGTTGAACAGGAGCCAACTCTTGATAAACCCTAACACCATTGGACCCTTTAATGGTAATATAATAAGAAATTATGACCTATTTACACAAGTTCACCAAAAGGAAACAAAGCCAAAACAGACGGTTGAGCTGCACAAATTAAAAACAGCTTGAGGACTTCCTGCATATATATATATATGTATATACATATACAATTAAATGCATATGTTAACACCAGACTGTATTTTTTCCATGTAAACAGTTGACCTGAAATCCTCAACAGAATGATGTCATATCTCAAAGACAAAATATTGTGCATACAACCAGAGCTAATGAATCATGATCATTTTCATCTCTCTCTCTCTCTCTCTCTCTCTCTCACACACACACATACAGCCTTTTGGTATGACAGCATTTGTAGACACTAATGATTTTCAGTGTCCCTGCAGTGTCACCACATGTAAAATAATCCCTAATCATGCTTTGAAGTCAAAGTAAAAAAAGGTGCAAATGTAAGGAAGCACTACATGAAAACTAAAAGGTCTTATAGCAGTTTTTTCAAAGGTTACTCATACACCAGCTATACTAATTTCACCAAATTTAATATTGACATAATATCAATAAAATGTTGATTGTGTTTTTATTATTTATGTTGTCATGTTGTTACATTAAGTGCAGACGTCAAGCCAAAATATTTGTCAAATGCATGCATTTGCACAGTGAATGTTGGCATTCGTTAGCTATGGCCAGAGATTACAAAGAGTTGCTGTTACAGCCCCCACCTGCCTTCTGCTCCTTTCCCCATGTTTTTCTAACACACAACAAATGTTGCGCCTGCTTCTTGGGGACTTGTTGATTTTAGTTAATGCTGGGCAGTGTCAACAAAATCATTATGGTGCAGTGTTTCAGATAGGAAACTGGCTTCCTCTGCAACAATAAAGTTAAAATAAGTTGCAGAGATCTCCTCTCCCTTTTGCAGGAGTGTGTGTTTGAGTGAGTGTATCTGCTCCTCTCTGTTTCGAACTGACAATCACATTTATTTAGTTATCAATCAATGGTGTCGGATCATGAATCCGGATCGTAATGGTCATTTTATCCCTGAGGTTCTGGTGTTCACAACAGCATCATATCCTCTGCATTATTCAGGTGAGAGGTGGAGCAGCAGACAGAGGCAGGAGGCGACACATTAACTTGCAGAGATCACGTGATTGTCTTTACAACTCACAGACACCGGTGTCAGCTCTCATCACCACAAACTCTCTTGACATCTTTGTTGGTGTCTTCCACTCACTCGCGGTGCATCCCCTGCTGAGTTCTCACATCGGATTCTCCTGTTTTTCTACAGGCTTTATACTGGGAGGCCAGGTGGAGAAATTCTGCAGAAACTGCGGAGACAGGAAACAACTCTTCACCTCTCCAAACCCTTAAAGCATGTTCCGTGCCAACATTTCCAGTGGGTGGCCAATCAGACTAGCAACTCATGGGTAATGTAAAGTAATGTAAAAGCATTGAAATCATTGCTCTCTGCAGAGCCTGTAATGGCTCTGTGGTTCAACTCTGTGCTAATTAATACAGCTGCAGACGAAGGGGCTGGATTGCATAATAGTGCAACGTCCACTGGAAATCACTGAACATTATTTGTTTCCAAGCTCCCTCTCCTTGCCCTCTGCTTCCTTCCCTTTTTCCCCTGACCTTGATTCCTCCTGTGCTACATTCCCTTTAGTCCCCTTTCGTCGTACTTTCCCTGGATGCCTATGTCTTTCCTGTCTCTGCTGCCTCTCTCAACAGTTCTGGTTAGAATAAGACTGCAGAGCCAAGGGAGGGATAATGTTACCACAAAGAAAGCAGTAGTTGGGTGTGGCCAGAGAACACTGAAAAGTTGCAGTTTTCTGAGGGCTTGCTAAAGGTTACGACCCTGTCATGGCGGATATCAGCAGTGTTTCCCAAAGAAGCCCAGTCTTAACAATACTGGGTGATGTGAAAAACTTAAACAAATAAAAGTGATCATAATAATGATAGTGACATAGTTTATTGGTGTTTAAGGGGGGTACTGGTGCTAGCTCACAGTAGAGGGTGGTTATCTGGGTCTAGGATGCATCCCTGTATAGTAGAAGATACCACTGGGATGGTAAGAGGTTATTTCTCTCTTCCGTTTAGGAGAATTGTCATTTTCGAAACTGACCTCCTGATACCTCTGCTGCTGCTAGATAAAGCTAAGCGGGAAACAGGATGCATTGCAGTTTTTGAAGGAATGCAGAGAAGAGTTTTAAGGGAACTATAATTAAAAAAAAATCCAGAATAAAGATGTATCCAGATGTGTTTATCTAAACACAGCTCGTTCAGGTATTGGCTTTGGAATGGTTGAAACTTTTTAGCTATAGTGTTTAATTACTTAGCTTAGCTACAAGACTTGCCTATTTGCTTAGCCTGTTGTTACCAACTGCCAACACGACCTCACTAAAGCCGTTTTCAGACATGGCCTGTGGGTAAAGTCCTAGGAATTGAGTAAATATTTTCTTTCTTTAATTTTTTTTCATTTTGTGTCTATCGCACGTCAGCAAATCTAGCGCTCGTGTACAGTGCAGTAGCTTGTAAGATCCCAACTTAACTTAGCCATTGCTATACTTTTACAAAAGTTCTGCCCTTTTAACATTTTACAGGTACACAGTAATTATAATGCCCTGTTTTCAAATATGCAAAATGTACAAACAGAAATGTACACCTACGTTTCACTGAAGATTTCTCTGACTTTGCGTGAAATTCAAGTTGCATATAAAACCCTTCTTTCCTCCCATAATACATACTGCTCCCCTTTACACAAGGGAAGCTTATGGACCACAGGCCTTTCATTTATAACAGCCATGCCACATCATAAAGATGGGTCAGATCTGACGTACATGCTAACTCCACAAATCCACAATGAGATCAGTCTTCTTTGAATGCAGGCCAATCCGAAGCCATATAAGACCAGCTCAACTAAAGAATAGACACTATGGACTTAAGCCTGTCTCACAGTGAAACACATTGACTTCTAAATCAGCACTGAGTCCAGGCTTTCCTGATAATAATGCAATACAATACATCAGAGCACTGCAAAGATCCCCTGATATTTAGCTGGAGTTAAATGCACCTCAACTTCCACTCATAAAAAGTACACAAGCGACACCTCGTCAGAGGGGAGAAACCTTGCCTTGTAACCGACTAAATCCAAGCTCCACAGAGCTTGTTAGAGGGACAGATAAGGAGTTTTGAAATTTAGTAATGCAGTAATGCAGTACTTTGTAGGACTACATCTACACTATTTGGTACTCTTACTAGTTCATTGGTATATTACTGAAATCAGCTGCTCAAATGACTGTCTCATAGCTATATACCTCTGTGACCAAACAAATTGAAACCCTTCCATTACTGAGATATGTTGTAAAATAATGGCCTGAACATGTTTCAGCAACATTATCCAATTAAACATTTGTCTAAAAATGTATCATGTTTAGCTCATTATTTCTTAAGTTACATACCAAAAAACATTTTTTGTCACATCATAATGACCTGTGACCATTCAAATCTAATTAGTTTATCCTTGAGTCCAAATTTGAAAATCTGTAAATTAAAGGGTTGCCTTGTGAGAAGGAAATCAACAAACGTTTGCTAACTGTATTGAATAATTCTTTGTCCTGCACCTGAATATATTTGACACGTCCAGTATGCTCATTTAGTTCCTCCTCTGAAACTTTAAGAAATTACATTGAAGCATTCTTCAGATATCACATTAATGAGATTAGGGTGGACAGACAGACAGAGACCCACACAAAGGCAATCTAGCCACGGCTGCAGCTGGCATGTATGAAATAAATAAACAAATAAAGGAAGGACTAAACAATTTGTTAATATGATGTAAGATGTCCTGGATACTACCATATCAGA